TGGAATATGCTATTCAGGCGTGGCAATCGTGGCAGAAACAGGATGTCATTGCCATCGAGACTCCTCAATGAAGGGCAACCAAGAACGTCAGAGACTTCTTTCATCTACCCTATCAGCCTAGACTGAAATCTGAGAATGTACAGCAGTTGATATCGGTGTGCGGGGAGGACCTCATAATGTTTTACCAGATTTTGAAGAACCCAAAGCGCATTTGCCGCCCGCTGCTGGAATTGAACCATAACACTAACCTAAGAGGTCATCCTCAGAACATGACAATACAGTACAGCCGGCTTGAATGCCGTAGCAGTTTCTTTTCCCTCCGCATGTCAGCCTTAGAACGCTCTCCCAATTTACGTCGTCTCTGTCCATAATCTGGCGATATTTAAAAAACGAGTTGACGATACGTTGCCACATTTGCATTTCTGTTTATAACTTGTTAGCCATGGGGCTACAAATCGAAACCAAACGGTATCTTACCAAACTCAAACCAATGGATTTATACTTTTAATACACGAACATCTCCGCTATTCAACATAAGTCTGTGGTGAGTCCATCAAAAAGCTCTTCCCTTTATCATGCAGTTTTATTTTCGCAGTAATTTCCATCCCACTGGACTTGTTAAGCATTGCTTTTCTTACCTGTAATACACCATTGTTCCATTGTGCCAATGATCTTCACAGTCGATGACTTTGTAAAAGGTCTTATTTATAGTCTACGCTAGGAGCCAGTGATTCCGTTGAACTGTCACTTAACTGTACCCTCAGTAGTGATTGTAAAAACAGCGCTAAAAGTCCAAATTCATGCAATGACGGCAAAAATAATTAGTTACTCGCACTATTTCGCCGGTTGGAGATAAATGGAAAAAACGGAATAAATTTACATCTTACTTTTCTGACATTTCCTAACATCATTTTGTCAGTGAGATGGGGAGAATGAATCCACCACACCGTCGCACCTCAATTGCCCAGAAAATGGAGCAGGTTTTAGTGTACCCACGTGTCAGCCCTCTCGGTTGACACGTTTAGGCGCTAGCAACTAGCGCGAATCTTTTTCTAGCATCATATACCAGTCGCTCCACACCGTTGCGAAATGAAGCTGGCTAATTCAGCCTCTGAAAAAGCAAAACAATTTTTCGGTTTTTTAAAAATGCAGCCACTTAAATCCGTCTATCCCGGTGTTTCTCAGAACTGACAGTACTGTCTTATACATGGATCATGACAAACTTTGTCCCTTAATCAAGCACTATGCCAATGCAGTTGTCCGGGAGGCCCAATTACCGCGTATTTAGTCAAACATACCAGTTCCAGCAGATTTACTTCTAACTGACTGCTGTGTCTGAGAGTCAGATTCTTCTTCTTTGGGGTGGTAAATCCTAGTAGAGCTGATGGTGGGGATGACATTCACCCCAGGCTTTTGTACGAAGTGTCAAGTAAGCTTTCTGAACCAATCACTTGTCGGTCGATGTCACTTCGGAACTGTTTTCCACTAAAGAGAGTATCTGTTATCTACGTCGTCTCTCCGAAATACGGCAAGCGTCAAACTGTAAAGTACAGACATGTGATTTCGATGACTGTTCTGATTAAACGGATGGAATAGTTGATAAGCGAGCAATTGAGCAACATTTGTGAGTATCCGATGTGCTCAATTCCTTTGAACATAGCTTTTCTAAGGGCCATTTCTCTTTGGCCAATCTGCTGGCGGTGCATAAATGCAGGTAAAGCGCAGTGGACCAAGGTGAGGCAATGGAGTATCTTTTCGTTTATGTTTCCAAACATTGGATACTCTTACACATTCGTCTATGCTTACAGTTGAAATCTTAAGAGAATATCTGAACATGCACGTGGATGGATATCAGATCTTCTAGAATGTCAACAGATGCCCGTCCTACTAGATTCAAGCCTGTTATTATGACATTCCGCCTTCAGTGCGATTCCACAAGGATCCGTCCTTGGCCCATAGTTGTTCTCTCTATGTAAGCGAGTTGCGCGACGTTTTAATTGCATCGTTCCTTATGTTTGCCGAGGACTTGAAGTTCTGGCTCCCATTGACAGAATCCGATGGTCCGCAAGATTTACAAAGGCCCCTTGATAGACTTTGGGACTGGTCTACTCTGTTCCGGGTGCCTATTAATTATGACAAGTGTTAGGTATTACGTCTATGGCTGAGTGATTTCCCAACATGTTTGTTTGGTAAAAATGAGCTACCTCAGGTTTCACATTCGGTTGATCTAGGTATTGCTATATGATTCCATTTCAAGTCCATTGATAACTGAGCGAACGCCGTCCGTAAAAGCTTTAGGATGCTGGGGATGAGCTGCAGGTCATCCAGTATCACCCCATCGGAAATGTTTACCAGATTCTTCACAGCCCTGGTTGTGCCGCCTCTAGAATATTGCGTTTAGGCTTGTCCACCATATTTGGTTCGTGATAGGAAGTCAGTAGAGCGGGTCCTTCGGGTTGGCACCAAAATGCCTCAAGGACTAAGGACATACCGTATCCAAGATTACTTAAACTCTGACGGTTTCCGTTACTCTATCATTGACATAATAGTGACTTCATTCAGATCTATAGCATACTAGCAGGAAAGGTCGGCTGCGATTTGTCTTGAGGTTTCCAACCAACTCCACTACTAGTCCGACTTCTCTCTGTGGTCATTTGATGAAGCACGATCTGCTGGGTTTGGGCCAACATTTGACAGTCACGCACGGTGGCTGCTTCATAAAATGCATGTTACTCGAGGGCGTGTTATAAACACAAAAAGTAAAAGAATTTGAACACAAACTTGCTATCTTCCGCATCCGAATTGTACTCTTACTTATTTTTACTACCATGCATTTCTATTTTTCTACTTATTTCTCTCTTTTTGTTACTTCGTATTATTTTACTTAATTCCCGAGGCCGGTGCATCGGAAACTGCTATTGTTAACCATGCAGACGTCTGTTGGTTGAGCATGGTGTGATTCGAGCGTATTGCTTTTGCTTTCCTGGATAGTAAATATTACCGTCGATAAATCCCCTGACCCAGTGACGCACTCAGGAAGGAACACCTGTGGGAGTGTTATACTGTTCTAGTCCGATAAGATCTTAAAGTTGCGGCTAGACCCACCAATGTGGTGGGTTTCACACGGCATCGTAACTACTCACAACGGGGAGCCAAGAGTTCTGTTGCTTGTATTGAAGCTCATCATTGAAGTAGCAACCTTTCCGCTGTGGACAGATAGCCTCATAAATGTACACTCATCGATCCATGTATTTCCGGATCTCCCATGGGATGAACGTTACCAAGGTAACTGCAGTTTAGAAGTTCACTGGAAGGAAAATTTAGCTAGAACTATTCTTGGACACAGTAAGCCAGAGGTTGAAACTTGTGTTGAGTATGGAATAACTAATCATGATAAGATGCATCGATGATACATTCATGAGACACTCTCCTTGAATGGCACGCCAGCTAAGTTGGTATCATGGGTACTTATATCTCCAAATCTAAACAATGCGGACGAAGAGAAACTAAAGTAGTTCTATAGATAAAACAAATGGCAGCAGATCTATTGAAAAGCCAGCACATGTTCTGCTACAGATGCTACCTGAGCTTCGGCTGAAGATGGAGATTTGTATTCCCCTTTAAAGACAACATAGTACTCAAGGATCCAAACATAATAGGTATTCTGTTCAAAGTGGGCACCAGCCTTAGGATGGATGAGTTCATGCAATCTGGTAGTAAAGCGAGAGATCCAACTCCTCTACACGTACACAGAAGATTAGCTTTGGAATGACTTAAGAATTCGCTGAAATTAACACCGAACCATTCACCACCAATGTATCGAAATACGGTTACTCGCAGACCGCTCGATAGTCAGGGAAAGCTCGTCTTATTTTCATTTGCCCAGACGAATTGCTAAAATCCGAGAGACTTTCATGTATGTACACTAAGGCTGTCAGCTTGCGAATACTTTCCATTACTGAAACTTGATTGCTTCCGGAAGCAACTGATACTGTGGTTGAGATAGCAAGAATGTCACACTTCCAGAGCGACCGCGTCATAGGCGAGGTGGTGGTCTGCATACCAAAGTGACTTGCATTATGCGATACTGGATGGACCGAAAATTCATGTATCTGGGGTCATCTCAGATTAAGCCACAGCGACCTAGGCCACTTGGCTGTGAAGTATCACCTCCAACACCCAATCAAGGGACGAATTCCCGCTTGATAATCATCCTAAATAGGTTGACGTACTATAAATATGGCTATACCCTCGCCGTAAGTGATTTAAGTGTATGACATCTGGAGGTGTCTGCATCCCTCAGTGAGTGGTTCAAAACCGACCTGCAACCGTGTACATTGCCCATAAGATCCCGTATATCAGACAAACCCTCCGTACTCTATCTTGAGATCACAAATGAACTCACAGTCAACAAGCTATTGATGGAGAGTCCATTAGGTCTCAGCGATTATGTAATTATAAGATTTGACTACGCTTAACGTACAGAATATCCAACTGCTTATATGGACTTGAGAAAGGCAGTCAGGTTATGAAATGCCGCCGCACATAGACACAATTTCTGTCTACCTACTAGATGGTCTGAATGTTTGACTATACTGCGTTTTGCACATGTACGCATTAGTTAAAATGTTTTGGAAAACTGGTAGCTCGGATTGATAATTCAGTTGCTCATTTGTTCACCGAGCTGCGAAATTGGTTTGCAAACGTTTCACCGCCATGCGGGGCGGCATCATCAGTGCGTCAAGATGTGGTGTGTAATCTCGCGAGATTACACTCCACATCTCGACGCACTGATGATGCCGCCTCGCATGGCGGTGAAACGTTTGCAAATAAATTTCGCAGCTCGGCGAACAAATTAGCAACTTAATGTACACATTAGGTTCCTCGTACCAAATGTGATTAAGGTTTTCATTCACTACAAAGCTATTAACATCCTTTGGTGACATATTCACTTGTTGGCCTCTAATTGGGGAATACTTTTATCATTCCCACTTATGTAGTCAACCCTGAAGACGAAGCGGTGAATTCAAAGGCTTCGCACTAATTGCTTTTTGGAAGACTAGCAAGTGTCTACTTCCTCTACATATAAATAGAATGGGTGGATGGATCTCAAATTCTCCTATTTGTACACTTTTACGATAATTTTCTTTGGACCAGAATGTCGAACAGCACTCATGTGATGAGCGCGACAAATGATGCCATCCGGTGGGAGAATAAGTTTTGCCTCTTCGCGCAAGTACCGAGTATGGAAGAGATGAAGAGAGAAGTGGCGAACATTACCTGCCAGATGCAATCAGTCTACCTAGAGGATGACTCGTTACCGTTGACGCGACATTCAATATCGGATAGACGGGTTGCTATGTATAAGGAGGTGAGTTACCTGCGTTTGATTGAATTGATCAAGATATTTAGTGCAAATTGGCTAACTGCTTCTGTTCTGGTAGCCAAATTGTTCCTTCGCTGGTTGTTTAATAATAGCAATAGCTTTCAACCTAAGGCTTAAATCAGGTCATATTTAGCTGACCAGTTTGTACCTACTCTCTCTCAACTGTGAATGGAGTTGAATGTGTAGTTTCACTACCTGGTGTCTCCGTTGGAACGGAGTTCTGATCTCGAGAAGAGGGCTAACATCGAACTCTGTTCAATTAAAAAAAATTTGTATTAGCCTTACATTTCACCGAGGTCAATGGCCCACACCGTTTTCCATTCTATCACACGTTGTTCGTGACTTATAGTGAGAGAGTAACCTCGCGTGGCATATCCTTCTTAAGGAGTTTGCGATTGCAAACAATGTTCACTACAGCATACACCTACCACCATGAAAACCTTTGCGAGGTCATTCCCTTAATTGTATAAGGGTGTTTGGGGTCATTGCAGCTGCTACGCTGCTCGCACAACCGTTTTTTATCATCCTTTGCGCAAGTTCAGGTGTATCATTACATGATATGAAATGTACTTGGTACGGCACTTGGACTTAGCAACGTCTTCAGTTTAGCTACTAAGCATGTTTACCTAATTTTGATTAAATTATTGCGATACTTCTGTTTCGCGGATCGACGTCTTTTGTGACCGAAAATTTTCCCTATGATCAATGTTTTGTCTAGTTTAATTCGGTGCTTCTGATGTCTTAGCGGCCAACCAGTTGTTGCTTGTTTTCCCCTTCACAACAGTCTGAACGGAATTTTGTCTGACGGAAAGGAATCTACTTCCATCATATGCTCTCTAAGTTTACTCACACCCCCACACAACTGTTTTTTACTTGAATGCCTGTGATCCTCTCAACAGTTGCTTCCTCACGTTAGTCGGAATCTGGCTAGCATGTAATCTGGGGAGGACTAGAAGGTACACATTATCCCATGTGTTCACTGCGCTGTTTTTGTCTAAACCGTTTACTTGTCATTTTCAAGTGAAATACTTCAGTTCACGTGTAGCTATTCGGTTTGTAGGGATGCCATCTGCTTCCCACATGTCTCATCATCTGTTGGGTAGACGAGTAACGAAAACAATGAAAGTCTTCTATACTACCTTGTTGACAGTGAAGTATAGTTAACGATTATGATACAGCGTGCTGTTCGAAATCACAGCAATCGTCTTAGTAGCTACACATCTTACATTTGCTTGGAATGTTTAGTTCGCATTTTCTCGTCATAAACACTGACTTTTGATTTCAGTTCACTCTGATATGCACCCATTTATCCGTTCGAATTGATCCATCAATATTAACCATTTCACTAAGAACTTCTCTCCTAAACGCTTTCTAGTCTATGCAGACAACGTGCCTTGTCATTTTATCTTCAACCCAATCTGGTAGGGAGTTTGGTTGCACTCCAATCTTCAATATTTAGCACCTTGTAGGCATAATAACTTTAACGAAAAGCGACTGAGGGACGGCAGTCAGAAAAACAACAAATTTTCGTTGGAAGTATGGCAGCACAAGAGGCAAGCAGCGACGGATAAGTACAGAAATCCTTAAGCCAAATTTTGTCGCGTTTTACATACACCATGTCAATGTCTATGGCTAAGAACGTTTATTTCTGTGAGGGTATCGGACTTTTGGATGGCAATAGCTCTCGACATGACAATATGTGGATGGCCCCGTTCTGAACTGAAATCTTGGTTTACAGTAGGTCCGGTTATGTTTCAAAATGCGGACTTCGTTGCTCCCAGCGAAACGCTCTCGTGCGTTCGCTGACTGAGCCACAAAAGTTACAGTTTTTCGTTTTGGTTTATGACGACCCAGGCCAAAATGGTGTCTACCGACTCCTATAATATTGACCACACTCTTCAGGTCAGATCGAGACAAAATGAGCGTTATTCATCCAAGCTGGGGGAAAATTCTACTCAAACAAACATTACTTCCGCAGTGGAAAAAGTCGCTTGGAGTATGTGAAGTTGAAAATGGTGGTATAATAAGTGACATAGACAATATTATCGTCACAAGGTAAGTTTCTTCGTTAGCACTTGAGTGATTAGCTTCTAGTTTACCAAATAGTGCTAGAGGCGGAGTGATCGATGAGAGATAGACATGCGCACGTACATCGTTGGACGTGTACTTCTATCTGGTTGACAGTTGATACAAAAGCAGACAGTGCATCAGGAAGAGGGCGATTTTTGTCTGAGTATTTTAGAAGTAAGTTTTTTGCAGAAACTAGTATGATGAGACATAACAAGCTCAATGAAAGTGAAGCTGGAACACCATTTTCTCAGGACCATTGCTTTAAGGACCAGTCAAGTGCTTTAGAATACAAACCTACCATAAACGGAAATATTACATGGAAGCAATATATTCAGTGAGGCAACATACAAACAGTGGCAAATCGCAGTGTCAAATAGCAAGCGATTTAAGAAGATTCCTGGCGAGTAACGCAAGGCGGTAGCTCCCTGACTTTTGTGTATAATTTTTCTCAGTAGGTGCCATGTTAGATCGGGGTTTAGCGTCGCGCGTAGATGCAACACCAGTGATAGGAAATTCAAGGCAGTCCAGAAGGCGTTAACGATGGCAATTTTATACAGTGAATATTCTAACTAACCATACTGCTCACAAATATGGTTGACGCCACTTCATTGACTCCCGGCGAATGTAGTTTGATGCAATCACCTCACAGTCACCAATTCTGCAGTTAGATTCCGATAACAATTTCGCTTCGACGAATCACGTACACTGCAGATATTCAACAAAGCAAATTGACCCATTACGTGCACAAGAATCAAAAGCATAAGTTATTGCAGTTACGAGTTTTTCGGGTAAAATCTCGTGCGGCGGCATCAGAGGTGCAGTTTGAAAGCCTAGTGAGGCACACTGGAAATTTGTTCCCAACTTCATTTTGTGCCGTTGGGGACCTAAAATCCAGCCTGTTGAAAAGCTGCCACGACTACTGTAAGGTCAATCCATCTCTTAACAATATCATTACAAGGGAGCAAGTGCCGTCATTCGTAGAGAACTTAAAATCTCTAATCGGGACAAGCGTTCCGGTTTAGCGCTAACAGACAGAGTGGATTACATTCATAAAGTGTAACATAGCCTCAGTGACGAACGTAAGTTCCAGTTGCTCATAGAATAATGGACAACACGGTAGAGTTACAGAAACAGCTGACCGGCTGTCTCAGCTGAACGATGCAAGCAAAGCGTATAACGGTGGACAAACTCGGGAAGTTGTAAGCTTCAGATGAACATCTTCCGGGATTATCTGATCATTCTAAAATTCCCAAGGGAAGCGCCACAAGGAGTCCAATCTTGGACATCACGGGTTCTCCCCAGCATTTGTTGGCTGAAGTCGCTGGCTGCAGTTGTTAAGGAAGTTGGTTTGCGCTTACTGCGTCAGATACGCCATGGACTTCATTGGTGGAATGTCTGAACTCAGCCATACTAACAAACGAATAATAAAATTTGATACCCAGTCGCTGTTCACAAAACTTCCGGTGCTCGAAACGGTGGAGCAGGTGTGCGAGTTTGTTCCCTAACTGCCCATATGCGCCATTTTTACGGAGAATTTTCTGGCGGAAGTACTACTTCGCTGTACGTTAACTGTTCAGTTGACCTTCAATGGGAAACTGCAACGTCAGCTTGATGGTGTGGCCATGTGATCATCTTTGAGGCCACTAATGGCTGTTATCTTTATGATTAAATGGTCCACTTCGAACGCACATCGGTAGAACTGAAATGTAAGTACGGTTTGCTAATGACACGTTTGTATCTGTCGAATTAGAAAAGCGTGCAGTAGATTTGTTGAAAGCTTTTAATGGCGCATGAGAATCACCACTTTAGCCGCGAACACGATTTCGAAAACTGGATGGTTTTTCTGGATGTGAAGTTATTAGTTACTAGAGCGGACGTTGTGGTAGAAAGGTGCACACAAAGTACACATGGATTAGACAGTACGCCAGATTCCACAATGAAATACTTTTACGGCATAAGATGAGCTTAAGATCATCTAGCCCCTTCAAGTCGCGCATTAGTTACATATAGGAAACCGGCAACGGAGAAAGTACGGTGAATCAGTCAGGTCCTGAAAATGTTAGTGACCACCGTGAAATGTGTCATAAAACATTTTAGGAAACGCAAACGAAAGACTCATAAAGTGACTTCACCGTCCAAGTGGCATTTGGTGTACTCGCTGTGTGGTTGGATTGCGACTCGCAATCTCTATTCAGACCTCGCTCCTAGGTGGACCTCGGTCGTAACGATCACAAGGACCGTAACCGAATTAGCGGTTCGGTGTTGCTCCTCGGTCATTTATGCATTGGTTGAATGCATCTCGACGGAGCTACTGCGAGCAACTCTTGTCCTTTGCCTAGACCGTTTATGTCCACAATCTCAAGGCTGAATTCTGTATGCAAAAGTGGTTCGTGCGGTCGATACTACTGCCGTGACCGACCGACACTGTTACTTAGCCATCTGCTTGTTAGCCAAGCTATGTACTGCGGATTACTGAGGCCTGTTGTATTTATATTCCCATTGGCTGCTTGGTCTACCACCTGCACCACAGTCACTGGTTATCAATTTGACTGTTCAAACAACGTAGAAATCAATCCCAATCTGGTTTGATACTTATCACACATAACGCGTACCATATAAAACGCTAGGGTCTGATGAGCGTGTACACGAAAATATTGTTAACCCTGCACTAGTTTCTGTTCTCGATCCTTAGTAGCGCAATAGCGCTTAAGTTAGTGGGTTCAAAGTGCGCCCAGGCGTACGGTTATTCAGTCGTTTCAACAATAATTAGCTGATTCATTAGATTAACATGTCTAAATTCCTCTACTTCCCTTATAAACTTAGTGTTATACCCAGACTGCTTATAGTACCTTAGGTTGCCAGATGGATTAAGCACACAAAGCAGTTGCTTGAAAGGGTACCTAGTCCTCTACGTGGCACTAACGAACAGATAGGTGATGGGTGAAGCGCGCTAGATCACAAGTATTAATCTATCTATATACGTTGCCAACACGCCGTCATAGCGACTGCTTCATAGGATCAGGTTTGCAAGTTTCAGACGCACATGGAGTAAATGACATGCACAGTTTTGAGGACCAAAGTTTTCGGGTGTTATTCCGTTCGCCTAAACACCGTCTGAGTTTCGTTGCGATAAATCTGACTTATACGATTTAAACCCCATACGGCTTGTTTGCAGTTAACCTAAGTTAGTGGATATTTAGGCATCGTCTCCGTCAGTGAGAATATAGGTATGTTCATCCCACAAAACAAAATCATTGGTGCAAAAGAAACGCTCCTCTCGGAGTACAACCCAACACTCTCATCCACATATCTGTAGCTATGAACATTCTCCACTTACTAATCTCCGGTTAACATACCACTTGTACCGATTCAGTCACGTTTGTCTAATTTAAGATTCAGAAATGAGTCAAAGAGAGTCGAAGACACAATGCGGAATGCCCCGATTACGGTCTTGCCTGGACAGATTGAACTGCCTTGCAAAAAAGGACTTCAAAACTTTATAACTCACACTTTCATAGTAGGAAAAGGTGTTTCGCATCCGTCAAAGAAACTTGTTTTGTTCCATCTGAACTGACATGAAATTTTGGCCCTCAGAGAACCAGTGTTATTCGCATAACCGTTAGCACTATAGTGTTCAGGTCCTAAATGCACTGTTGGGCTGCCCGGCTTCCAACTGGACTGGCAATTGATTGAAGTTCCTATACAGATTTCGACGCTGAAATTCAAACAGCCTTTCAAACTGGCATGCAGTACCTGCTGTGTCATTCAACAAGCTCAAGCGAAGGATGAATAATGAAACTTAGTATTGCTCATGTCCATCACGCAGAAATGTGAAAAGCATGTCAAAGTACAACTGTTTATGTAGAATTTGCCTTAGCATGTATGTCTTTCTCTTTGTTGTCTTACGGACCATCCATCTCAGTTCAACCACCAAGCACAGTCACTGCTGTTGTTGTTAGCATTTGAATCAACTAATGATGGTGAAATGTTTTTGGTAAAATTCATTCGGCTATAGTAACTGCAGTGAATTTATTTTGCGGATTTGATAACTTCTAGGACGACCAACCGGCTATTGAACGAAAAAGAAAATTCAATACGTTAGGTGGGGCTATCCAGCAACCGTCAAATGCGTCTACGTACGACGACCAGACCTGGTTACTGAGGTCAAATACAATCGACAAAATGAATCAAATCAGCGCCAGGTAAGTGGAAAGTATTTCCTAGTTAATATGAACTTTTTGCAGTTTGCCGCGCGAGGAGCAAATCTCCGAGGTGTTCAATTTTAATGGTAGACAGTTTAGACAAACTTACAAACGGCGTGTAAGTCTGGAGCGAAAAACTACCAGGGAGGTAAGTTTTTAATGTCCCATCCGTGTTCTTACAGTGAATTCAGCTAAAAGATGGTCTAACCATATTATCGGCGACATCACGCCAGTTTTGGATGGTTTTCAACTTCCTTAAGCTGGGGTAACTTAACAAACATGCTTTTGAGATAACGGTAGAGCAAGGTTTTATGGGAGATGGCAACACTTGAGTAAACATTTTTAGCTCAGCTTTTTCTCATCATTTCCCTATGTACAAATACTTACCGATTTTCACCTCTCGTGTGTGTTTCGTGGCTAATCCAGCACATGGATCCGTATAGCTGAAGTAAACACTTGACTTAACGTGTCTAAAATCAGAGCCACTCACGGAATTACCGATAATGGTTAGAATCGAGAGTGAAAAAGCTCCTTCCGTCAGGATTTAATGTGGTCTGCTACGTAAATACTCACCAAATCTGTGGAAGAAGTTCCAGCTTGAGATAAGTCCTTCGGAGCTACGCCTGCTCCAGGCCCACTGGTGTGTAAATGCGTTCAACGCGTGCTTCCGATTTCCTTTCAATGGTCTAACCGTTTGTGTAATTTGAGACCTGTCACCACCTGAGATTCACCGGCTTCCGCTTCACTTTGAGCATGCATCAGTGACGTTGGTGGGCTTCGATCACGTAGAAAATAAAAACCGATGAAGCCATGCGACAGGATGAACAGCGTTAGCACTGACAACTTAGTAACTACAAACGTGCAAGTTGTGATGAATTTGTTGAACAGTTTCTCGATACTAAACGATTTGGTGATCCGTGTGTATCTGCTTGACTGGTTTATTAATTGACTGAGGCTATTGACAAAAAACCGTTGGGTGAGTGTTGGCATAGGACAGGAACAATTACAGTTTTGAGTGCATTATTGACCTAGTTCATATAGATAATTGCATTGTTTACGCCACCTTATTAAGGTCTTTCTCCTACCTGCAAGTTCGACGGATGGTCGTCCTGATCCTACACAAAATGAGGTATCCGAATTCGTTTCACCGTCTTTTCTTCAATCTGAGCAAACAAACCACGAATTTTCAAAGCCGGTGTTCAACCCAAGACCCTTACTGGATTTGTCCGTGATGCACTGCCCGCCAAAACCGGATCATGAGGACTGTTGCATCACGCCCACACTTGTACTACACCCCACTTCGAAATATCCTAGAGAGAGGTCAATTAATTCGTTGCAGTCTTCACCGTCTTCACAACTGCACACGATCCATCTTCTCTCGGGGGCTATGAATACTGTTTGTCCTTCGTCCAATCATCCCGGTAGAAGCAATGCTACTAATAACGTTTCGACACAAGACAACAGCATGAACAGTGCACTTCTTCACCCACTGCGGAATGTTGTTGATTCCGTTCGGAAGCGCTTCAACAAACATCACAGAAGTGCGAAATCAGTAGATTGGAAAATTCCAGTGAATAACGATCAGCGGTTGCAAAGTGGTATCTCGTGTGAATTACCAGAAGCCAATTCAGGAATGGTTAAACATGGATCTGATGACAAGGACCTTGTGAAAGTTAGTGGAAGTAAGTTGAATCTAAATGTGTCAAGTGTTTTGCACAGTCAGCTTTTGAAATACTGCTGTGAAAGCTGAAACGAGGATTATGTTACATGACTCGTTTCCGGAGCTGTCATGCTTGCCAGTAGGTGTGCACAACTGCATAACTACTGCACGATTTGACCACTACTCCGTTTATAATTTTAGTCTTAATGTGCTGCGTCATACTTTGGCAGCTTGAGAATACAGGGTACCCTGAATTTGGACTCCTAGATATGGTGCCTGATCCTAACAACCCATTGGTTGTCCTGCCAACAACAGGCATTACGTGGTCATCTCGATGTGATGTAATACACTAAACTGGGTGTTGTGTTCCGTTGGCTTTGACAATCACCCACTACAGATTGATCCTAGATACGTGATCGGGAATACTGGCAAAGTACCCAACACCCAATATATCAAGTCACGTTAAAAATTAGGCATTATGCACTTGACCGCTCATATGATCGGGTAAGGGTCTACGCAATGCTACCCCTAGGACCAACCTTGGAAACAGCGGTTTAATAATAATAATTTCAATACTGAGAACAAGTGACATGAGTTGCCAGACTATAGTGAAGTAACTATTTCACCAAGTGGTCCCTTACCGTTTTAACTAAGCTTGACAGCCAGTGGCCTGTAAGGTGCGTCATCGCTAGAACCCCTTTTACTAATGGAGTTTTATACAACACAATGTACCAATTGTTTATAGTGGGTAAACATGGAAATGTTTGACAAATCTCCTAGGATGGTCAGGCTGAATGTTCCAAGAACACACTGTTGATTAAAAAGGCGCAAGTCACCTGGCTCATCAAGAGGTTTGCATTAGCACAAATGCAATCATTTTTGCTAAGATGTTAAGGAAGTCTGATACCGTCCACAGTTTGTTCTGCGCTAAGGCTATCAACTGATAGCCGGTTGCTACATCCTGTGGTGTAAATGTGTCAGTGTGTGGTCGATTCATTTTTTGAATAGGGATAAGGTAGTGACATTAATTACATACGCTGAGATGGAATTCGGAGGCGGAAAAAATTTCCTCGAGATTCCAACTGGTTGTGCTACCCAACCAGCTGAAACTGATGACCACTCAGAGATGTGTTTTGACTGCGATTCAAAAGGTAGTGACAATTATACTTGGGGTTTTTAGTATCTGATACCTCAGTATCTGATAGCCCCGTAGACGCGGATAACGTCCACTGTACATTTTTAGTCTTTTCAACCTGATTGCTTAGGGAAGGTAGGAGAAACCTTGACTCGTTTCATCGCCCTTCGTTGCGCACTCTGAAGCGCAGTGAGATGGTCTTTCTTCCAGAATTGTCATCTTTGGATCGCGTATCCCACGTGTCACCTCACATACGCGCCAAGCACTTGCGGAAAGGTTGCAGCGTCGAACTTCCCGCAATCCCTACGAAGGAGGCCGAAGTGCTGGTTTGCTTTTTTGATGTTTCTAGAGTCCCATAAACAACCAAAAGCATCTGGTCCGAGCACCCTGTATTTTTACTCATGAGAATCCCGCCGTAGACTACGTGAACCTAGGGAGCGACCGTGAGTACTCTGATGACGTATACTAAGTACCTTGCACTTCGCTGTGTTTAACTAGATCATATGCTCAGTGGACCAAATGTAAGACTTATTAAGAACATTTTTCAGGGCTGCGTGGTCCTTTATTGTATTGATAGCACGCCACCTACTTATATCCACGGCAAATAGTGGAAATTTTGAAAAATACCCTCGCGAGATCATTTATGAAATCGGGGAACGGAGACGGCCCTAGCAAAGAGGCTTGAAATAGGATACAGTGAACTTTGATTGGTTAGGATAGGGTGCCGCGAGCCCTTACATTCAGGCGACGTTGAACCGGAAAGTTGCCAATCCAACTCAGAGCGCGATCGCCAATTCAATCATTCTGAAGCCTGTGCAGTAGAATTCGACGGTCCAGACGACCGAATGCCTTTGCGAAATCCAGGTACACGGCATCTACTCCTACACCAACCTTCACGGATTCCATCCAGCATGCACGACTACTAGTAAGTTTGTAGTGGTTGAACGATGTTGGTGAAATCCGAGTCGCCTCCGTGTGAGCATTTCGTTACTCTCCAGATCTTCCATGAGTGCTTCCACGACAATGGACACTATGACCTTGAAGATCACCTGAATTAGTGTTTGTGAACGAAATTCGCCATTTTTGCATGACAGCCACTTTCGTAGCTTAGAGTGGCGATCCGGTGATTCCACATCGTAGGAACCTACATCTCATTAATGCCTGCTTAATAGAATCTGTCTTGCGACTCAGCTAAACACATGGTAGCCACTTCCATGGCCTTCGGGAAAATACCGTCTGCACCAGGGGAGCTATACTTGCGTAAGTGCATTAGTCGTTTCAGCAACTCCGGGAAAGTGAAGAAGATGTGTCTTAATGCTGGTGATGATGTGATCTGTGTGAGAATGGCAAATTATGGCGGTAGAAACTGGAAAGTGCGAGCAAATCGAGGTCTAAGAGCGTTACCTGCTCCTTACGCAGTTTGCTCTTGACCACATGCGTTGTTTAGAGGAAGGATGCCTCGCTGTACTCTACAAAATTCGTTAACATATTGTTAACAAATTGCATACAGTCATGTCAAGTCCCGTAGTAAGCCTGTAACACGGTGCGCGAAGCCTTCAAATTCGGCCGTGCTGCGTTGTTCCTATCCAAAGTAGTTACTAACACACGCTTTTCGGCATTGCGTCCGAATTCTTTTGTTTTAACTTTTAGATTTCTTTTCTACAACTAGTGACAAGACACTATGAAATCTTTGCATGTTTCACGCATTTGAATTGGTCCATCTTCATAACCAAATCATACGAAGCAAGATAAAAAAAACAAATAAAGGAATTATACGCAAAACACCGTGCATGGCGGCGGCTTGTACTTCGGAGGAAGAATCTCAGGAGTATGAGTCGACCTACTTTAGTCATTACTCGGAAAATGAAAAGACCTCAACCTGTGATAGGATGTCATGAATATTCTCGCATTGGCATCGTTATGCTGCAGCAAACCCGGCTTCAGGTTAATATTAAAAATGTAGTCGTGGAACTTGATGGATTTAATTCTTAGCGTGTGGACCGCCAATGTACGCAAAGGAACCGCGGTGATTGCGTTATCACTTCCATTAATTCTTCATGGTGCACGTCTGTTAAAAGCAATTCTCCCTGCAGCTCGTAACACATCAGTTGTTTAATAGTCAGATACTAACCAAAACTTCTGAATGGTTATCCTTCGATATTATTGGCTCAAAGTTGTCTGTATATTTCTCCCTGGTGTCGCAGCTCTGAAGTCGAGGAAATTCACAACGGAATTACAACTGTTGTCTTTGAATACTTAGAACACTGCTTGTGAGTAGTTGCCGATGGATTTAATAAATCTGACACCAGCATCATTGTGAGGCTTGAGCTAAAGAACATTCTGCAATCTCCAACCAAATTAGACGCCACAATTGACATGATATTTGTCAACAACCTGAAAGTGTTGTACATTTTTACTCGGGCACCTCTTGGGAGCTCTGACCATACCACTGTAAAGTTATCTCCCGTTATCTATAGAAAACTGAACCATGAAGATCTTACCCCTTGCAGTGATAGAAAGATCATGCGGAGATAATGCCTTCCCCAGAACATTCAGCGACTGTGTGAAACCACTGCCTTCACGAATTTCAGTTCATTTTACAAAGCTGACGTATCGAAGTACTGTGAGCAGTTAACTAGTTAACTAAACTTCTGGTTCAACAATTGTTGTTTAACTGAAATAATTTTGACCAGCACAGATAGTTTTTGGTCTCAAATGACTGCGTACGCTCAAAGAAAATACTTTTAAACGCAAAGGCGTTACATCAATGAAGTCTTTATCGAGTGAGGTCAAAATCGCATTGCCTCTCGTTAACCATATTTACCTCCAATCCATACTTGGAAACCATAATTATCATGAAATATGAAAAATGTTGGAATAGCTAAGCGGAGTCACTCGCGACGAAGTCCGGGGATGGAGAGGCAAGACTTCAATTTTTATACGCGGTAGCTCTCGCCGACTAATACACAATGTGCTTCATGCAACACAATACAGCTGAAAGTGGACAAAGAGCAGGCATCATGAAAGTGCCAAAGAAAGGAATCTGCAAACATCGCCAATTGCTTGCATGTTGATTGCTTTGAAAACCTTTGAGCGGCTTCTTCTTAAAAGGAACCCAGCCCCGACTCATTTGGATGACCCGCATAATTTTGCACATCAAAGCTCAAGGTCCACCTTAGATGCAGTAGCATGTCTGGTTATGCAATTCTTTCGTCACAGGTGAACAAAACTAAATTCAACCGCATCTGCTTCCTGAATTTTAGCAACGCTTTTGGTTGTGTGAACCGTGAACTACTGTGGCGCCATCCATTATATTCTGGAGTTCAATCTTCTGTTGTTCTTCTACTGCAAGACCCTGTCAACAGGCGTACTCAGTTTTCCAGTCTTTTGGGAAAAAACTGTTCTATTCATCACCAATTCTAATGTTCTTCAGGGAACCATTTCCCCCATACCTACTCCATCTACGTTACCTCAATCCACATCACTAAAAAAGCCATCTCGCTAAACTATGCGGACGACATAATTCTTGGCGGCCAACATCCACGCATATAATGATCCGGCTAAATACGAGCTATCCTGGACTACCTCACAGCTTGGTGCAAGCTCTGTTGTCTGCTGTTGGACACTTCATAATGCAAAAGTGTTCTTTTACACTGTTCAAAGGAACTCGTTATCATCATATTCTAACACAGTGTCCGCAACATCGCACGCACGGCGAAGGTTTGACCTGCACTTCAGTTAACTACCTAGGAGTGACAATTAGCACTGGACGTACGTTTTTCGTTCACGGGAACGAAATATTTACGACAGTTAGGAGGTTCACATGCTATTTTGCACGTCTCTGGTCTTCTTCTGTATCCCGATTTAGGATCCATCATTTTATCAAT